CAATGTCAGGGGAGAAGGGTAAATACGTGTGGTAGAGTTTATTACTGTTCACCAAATATTCCATTTTTCCACCCATTCCTTTCCTGCTGAACTCAGGTGTTGCCCCGGGACTTCCTTTAGCCAATGAAATGTGGGAGGAACAGAAATGTGAGACCCGCGTCACATCTGAGCAGCAATTCCAAGAGCCAGCACTTGGTTTGCCAAGACTCTTTCCCTCTGCCACGATGACCAGTAACGTTTCATATAGAAGCAGCTAGCCTAGCCTGGTTCAGTGGTAAAATTCTCGCCTTCCATGTGGGAGACCCAGGTTCAATTCCAGGCCAATGCACCTCATGTTCAGCCACCATCCGTCTGTCAGTGGAGGCTTGTGTGTTGCTGTGATGCTAAACAGGCTTCAATGGAGCTTCCAGTCTAAGGCAGACTAGGAAGAAAGGCCTGGCAATCTACTTCCAGAAATTAGCCCGTGAGAACCTATGGATCACAATGGTCTGATCCACAACCGATCATGCAGATAGTGCAGGACCAGCTGGCATTTTGTTCCGTTGGGCATGGGATCACCATGGGTCAGGGGCTGACTCAATGGCAGTGAACAACCCCCACCAATAATAAAATAAAGCCCTAGAAGCAAAGGGTTGTAAGTGGTTATTTTTAAACTGAGACATACAAAATTCCCAGACTGGTCAGGTCAACCCAAAACGCCATCTCTTCATCTCTCTGGCCTGTACCTGATCAGGTACCTACCTTTGGAACGGAGGTTATACACTGTCTTCAAGTCCACACGAAGCCATGTGGCCAAGCTGATTGCATTTCAGATATTTTAGTAACACGTAAACACAGTTTCAGAGGCCTCACCAAAGCCGTCTGGTTTTGACAGCATTTCCATGCAAAGGGAGCCCTGCCCCATTTTATTAAATTGGCCCGTGATGCAAGGGCTGACCGCTACTCTCCAGAATGACTGCACTGGCTAGCAGGGCTCGCTGCAGCCACAGGGTGTCCACACCACACATAGACACAAGAGCTGAATTACTGGATGCTGCTTTTACCGGGCAGAGGACGCCCTGTTCAGAGAGGACCCTCCGCGGTGGGGGACGTCCTGGCCAGCCTGGCCCTAGCGTGCACTTCCCCCCAAGTCACTTGTGCTGGCAGCCCCGGAGCACTGGGTGACTTTTCTGCCATGAGGCTGGCACTTCATAATTACAGATGTGCTTCTGTTGTCATTGCAGATTACCTCTCAATGGCCCTAAAATAGACACCAGCCTAAAGGTGTTGGCTGCGCAGACAAAGAGGGAGGCTTCTCGAGTCGGGGAACCTGGTAAGGAGCCAGGAGGCGGGCTTGAGACTACACACAAAGGTCCCAACTGTTACAAAGTGATGGGGCGATGACTCCTTCCTCCCTCCTCTTGATGGCCATAGAGCAGTGCCACAACAGGATCTGCTTCCGGACTAGAAACAACCGCGTTAACTTGGAGCTCTGTCTCCATCACACACTCACTCCCTCATTCACCCATTCAACATGTAACTTACCTACGGGACCACCTACCCCTCCTCGCCCTCCGTATCACAATCCTCCTTGGCCACTGGCTCTCATCTGGGATGCTGACTCCTATGGACCACGTCACCAGGCTCCTGTGCCCTCTGGCTGCCAGACAGTTGGGCTAATGGGAGGCAAAGAAGAAGATAAGAAAGTGGGAGAGGAGAAAGGTCAGGGTATTCATGCCTCTGCCCCCTCCCTGCTGGGTCACAGCTGGCAATAGTTACATCCTTCTACCTGGGCCTCGGAGTCCCTGGGAGGTGCAAAGAGTTAATGTGCTCAGCTAGAAGTCCCTCGGAAGAAAGGCAATCTACTTCCGAAAGATCAGCCATTGAAAACCCTATGGAGTCTGGATTTTCTGGGGCCATGGAGGCTGGATGCCCTGAGATCATCTTTAAACCTTAAGCCAAAAATATCCTCTGAAGTCTTCTTAAAACCAAACAATACTTTAGTTTAACTAGTAAAGAATGTCTGCCTTGAGCATTGTGCTCTTTTAAGAACTATCTATATGGGCTCAAATTGACAACAGCAGCTCGACAGTTTAGACAGGAAACTTTGGGGACAGTGAGTGAGTTTATGTTAACAGCGGAGGAATAATTCAGAAAGGGAGGGTGAGAGTGGTTGCACATCTCGAAGAATGTAATCAATGCCACTGAATTGTACATGATGTAGGAATTATTCAATTGCTGTATGTTTTGCTGTGTATATTTTCAACAATAACAAAAAATAAAATACGTTATTAAAAAGAAAACCATATGCAGCACAGTTCTACTCTGACACACGTGGGGTCACCTTGAGTCAGAGTTGACTCGACGGTCTCTGGTGGGGGTGCTATCAAACCAACCATTGAGAGCTTGGAATCGGAGCCCTGGTGGTGCAGTGGTTAAGAGCTTGGCCGCTAACCAAAAGGTCAGCAGTTGGAATCCACTAGCTGCTCCTTGGAAACTCTATGGGGCCATTCTACAGCATCCTATAAGGTCGCTATGAATCTGAATCGATTCGACAGCAACAGGTTTGTTTGTTTTTTTAAGGCAGGCTAGGGCCGTTGTCTTACATGGCGGCTATGGAACCACACAGACCTGGGTTAAAATCCCGGTTCCGTCGCTTCCTGCTGGGTGACCTTGAGCAAATCGCTTAACCCTCCTGAGCCTATTTCTTCATGTGTACACTAATAATAGCAACTATGTACTGAATGCTTAATATGGGCTAAGTATTGTTCTCAGCACTATGTACATACTGATGTATTTATTCCTCACAACCCTATGAAGAAGAAACCATTGTTATGCCCATTTTATGGATGAGGAAAACTGAGGCACAGAGTGATTAGGAAACTCAGCCAAGATCATACAGCTAGGAGATGGTAGAGTTAGGATTCAAAGACCGGTAGTCTGGCGCCAGAACCTGCCCTCTTATCTTCTAGCCCTGCACTGTCCAGGACACAACCACCAGTCAGTCACCTGCGGCTATTGAGCCCTTGAGATAGGGTTAGTCTGAACTGAAATGTGCTGTAAGTGTAAAATACACACTGAATTTCAAAGACTTGGTATTTTCTTAAAAAGAATATAAACTGTCTTGCTAATAATTGTGATATTGATTACAAGTAGAAATGACACGGTTTGGCATATGTTGGGTTAAATAAAACATGTTATTACAATCGATTTCACCTGTTTCTTTTTACTTTTTTAATGCGACTACTGGAAGTTTTTAAATTACATTTGTGGCTTGCTTTGCATTTCTACGGGAGACTGCTGATCAGTACTGGCCTCACAGCTTAGTGCGAGCATTCAGTCAGTTCATGCAAGGAGCTGCCAGGGACAAATGTAACACCAACGGTGATTATTAGGAGTCCCTCAGTGGCATAAACAGTTAAGCGTTTGGCTGCTAACCAGATATTTGGCAGTTCAAACCCACCCAGAGGATACCTCGGAAGAAAAGCCTGGCAATTTCTGAAAAATCAGCCATTGAAACCCCTGTGGAGCACAGTTTACTCCGTCACACGTGGGGTCTCCATGAGTTGGAATCGATCTGATGGCAACTGGTAGCTATTATTAATATTAGTGAGATCAGTGGCTTTCAAATTTTGTAGTTACGGGGTATTTTTTTTTTTCAAACAATTCTTATAACAAAGAAAAGAGGCGTTCTGATTAAACAGAGGAGACACTTGGGATTTCCTCTCCAGCGACCCATTCACTCTGGCACCGCCTCCACAGGTTGGAAACCCACAACGTTAGATATTCTTGAAATGTCCTTCAACTTTAGTATTGCTTGTTGTTGTTAGATGCCCCTGAGTCTACTCCGACTCATGGCGACCTTATGTATAACAGAAAGAAACATTGCCCGGTCCTGCGCCATCTTCCTGATCGTTGGTATGTTTGAGCCCATCATTGCGGCCACTGTGTGGCCCATCTCAGAGAAGACTTCCCTCACTTTCACTCACCTTTACCTTTAGCAGGCCTCACAGCGACCCTATAGGACCGGGCAGAGCTGCTCCGTAGGAGTTCCAAGGGGCAGCTGGGGGATTCAAACTGCCAATCTTTTGGTTAGCAGCCGAGCTCTTAACCACTGCGCCACCAGGGCTCCACCTTTAGGATTACATGTCTGTAACTCCAGAGAAGGTGAGGAAATGGTATTGGATAAAATCAAGATGTCTAGAGCAATATTTTTTTAAATGATCGTAGAAAACACTGTACTTGGGAGACACAATGTGGTTTGGCTCCAGGTGCAAGCAAAGGCCAGGAGGGGGAGGCACCATGAATGTTACCTACAACCCTCACTCATTACCCACACACGTGCACAGCCCCAGCACCTACGCACCACGTCACCCCCTCACTCCCCCCACCCCACCCCCAGCCTGCGAATCCTGAATCTGGAAGGCTCGTGGAGATGGCTGTGGGCACCGATATTCCAGGGTCAACAGTGACGTTCAGCCTGGGCCCTATAACGAATTTGCTGGCCTGAAGGCCACTCTGGGCTCCATGGGCGCCAGCATTTGCCGGGCAAGCCTCCTTACACCCCTCAGGCCGCGCCCCGGCCTGGGTGCGGTCCTTGTGGACAGCAGAGAGCAGCCAGCTCTTCCCGGGCTCTCTCTCTCCAACAAGTTCCGTGAGTCTGTTTGCTAAAGAAAAATTCCAGTGGGGGCATCCAACACATGAAACTCAAGCACAGAAATTCTATTTCTCCACCCCACTGCCAAGGAGATCACATGCCCCATGAGTCACTCCAGATGTGCTCAAAACAGAGGCTATCTGTGGAAGCCCAGTCCCAATCCCGGGAAGAGTTGGGTCCAGAGAGGTGGTGGCTCCGGTCCCACCCAGGGGCCAGCCTCAGCCTCCGCCCTTCAGAGGAGCGGGAGGCCCTTCATTAAAGGGAAGAGTGGTGAGGACTGTCTTCTCTCCGGGAGGAGCAGGGCGGGCATACCTGTGCCAGTGCGGGCCCACTGGGTTTGAGGGTCGGCTCCTGCTCTCCCGGGAGGAGAAGATGTCGTGGAAGACAGTGCTGCTTCTGCTGGTGTATTACAATGCTCAGGCGACCGTGCCCCACAGGTGGAGCAGAGGTGCGTTGGTCTTTATGTCTTTGTTGGCTTGATGCTTATTGTTTGTTCTTGACTAAAACCAAGGATTGGGGAGTAAGTGGCAGAAGGAAGTTAGAAGCCCTGTGCCCACTTTCACCTCGTCTCTGCCAACTGCTTCCTGCTTCTTGCTGTCTTCCCCCTGGGAATCGGTGATGGGAATGGCTCTAAAAAAGGTGAAAGCAGCTGAAAGGGCTGGGTCAAGGTCGAGAACCAGAGGGCATCGCTCTCTGGCAGGCCAGAACAAACTCATCTTGGCTCCATAAAATGTGGCCAGCGTCCCTGCATCCCCTGGGGCTGCTGCAGCTGGCTGGCCATCTGGAGAGCAGGTGCTGAAATGAGGGTGGTTGGGAGCTGGGGTGCAGAAGGCCTGCCACCTGGGATCCAGCACAGGAGGCAGCGGGTGAGGGCCACCCTGATGTGGTCTCGATGCTGCCTCCCGCCAGAAATGGATCATCTTTCCGGTTAGATGGAGCTGTCCCCAGGCAAGCAAAGCAAGGCGACCCCAGCATCAGGCGTGCCTGTCTGCTTGCCGGCCCGGCCTAGCCCCGGCAAGGCTTTTTGCGAATCACTGGCCTCCTTCCCCTGGAAGGGAAGTACTCAGAGCGGCAGTGGCATCTTTGTTCTGTGCCCTGTGGCCATCTCCCCTCGGTGGACGCTGGCACTCGAGGTAAACCACTTAGGGTTTATCACCGTTGGGAAATGAGGGGCAATCGTGACGACCACTGCTTGCCCGTCTGAATGCAAATCTTCCTGCCGCCTGATGTCACTGGAGGTCTGTCCCCCGGAAAGGCTGGAGGGAGGAAGAGCGGGCTTCTTGGAGTCAGAGCCAGAGGTGTTTGTAGAGATCTGAAAGAGGAGGAAGCGGGCCATTACCCGCGGACAAAGGACAGGGAAAGGAAGGAGCGGCCGGTATGGGAACAGAGCGGCGCAGAGCAGAGGGATCTAAAGTGGAAAAGCAGGAGCCAGTTGTCCTTATTTTGCTTTTTACTCCCTCGTGTTAGGCATCCTCTGAGCTGAGCTGTGAAGTGATTGCTGCCCAGAGGTAAATAGTTAATGCAGCATTTCCTTGAGGCCAGTGGTTCAGTGCTCGGCTGCTAACCAAAAGGTCTGAGATTCAAAACCACTAGCTGCTCCTCCTCGGGAGAAAGCTGTGGCAGGCTGCTTCCATAAAGATTTATAGCTCTGGAAACCCCATTGGGCAGTTCTGCTCGGTCCTATAGGGTCGCCGTGAGTTGGAACCGGCTCGACGGCAGCGGGTTGGACTTTGTGTTTTGTTTTATTTTGTCCTTCTTTGAGGGGAACAATATTACACACATCCCTCACTGCTTACGACGTGCACAAACCTTGGTGCAGCCCTTGAAAGCAGAGAGCCAAGAGGCCTTGGAGTTGTGTTCTGCCACTCACCCCGTGTGACACTGGGGTACAGTTCACTTGCCCAGTAAGAAGGGGCGATGATATCCATTCTTCCTGAGGCACAGGATCTTAGAACACCAGATGAGAAGTTCTGGCTTGTAATAACCCAAAAATACCAAACCCACTGTCTCTATGGAAGCACACTGCCACATCTTTCTCCCACAGAGCTGCTGGTGGTTTTGAACCACCAACCTTCTGGTTAGCAGTCAAGCACTTTAACCACTGTGCCACCAGGGCTCCTCCTTGGCTTATAAACTTGGTAGCAATATCATGAGCTACCCTGCAAGGGTCTCATATGATTTAAGTTCTGCCTCTCGTCAGCTGTGTAATAACTGGCAAGTCTCTTAACCTCTCTGAGCTTTAGCTCACTAACAGGAAATAGTAACAATAACCAGACTTAACCTCACTGGGTTGTTGTGAGGGTCATATGCAAATAAAAATGCTTTGTAAAGGATAAAGTACTATATAAACGTCGGTGGTGCAAAGGGCTAAGTGCTTGACTACTAACCCAAAGACCGGTGGTTCAAACTCACCCAGAGGTCCTTGGAAGAACGGCCTGGTGATCTACTTCCAAAAGGTCATAGCCATGAAGACCCTACAGAGCACAGTTCTACTCTGAAACACATAGGGTTGCCATGAGTAGGAATCAATTGGACAGCAACTGGTTGGTTGGTATTACCTGTTACCAGCTGTCGTGAATCGATTCTGGTTCACTGCGATCTCATGGGTGTCAGAGTAGAACTGCACTCCATAGAATTTTCAATGGTTGATTTTTCAGAAGTAGATCACCAGACCTTTCTTCCAAGATGCCTTTGGGTAGCAGTCAAGTGTGTTAACAGTTGGCACCCCTCAAGGACTACATGTTAACTATTACCTACCATTAAAAAAAAAAAGACAAAAATTTTTCAGGAAAGAAAGTTGAAGGTTTTCAACAGGGTTCTATAGCAGCATCCTGGGACGAATTGCTGTGGCCCACCTCCTCGTCACTGGGGAAGGTCGGCCCCCAGGACAGTCACAGCATGCATGGAGACCTGGAGCAGAGCCATGGCGGGGCAGCTGATGTTGGTGCCAGATGGTGGGTCAGTCAGGGCTCGGAGTCAACAAGCCACACAGGTCCCTCCACCCATCGTCAAAAGTCATCCACGCAGTTGCTTCTTCATTTGTAACATTTTTTTCTAATTCTAAAAGGAATACACTGTTCTTGCCATTTGTTTAAGATGGAATAGAAGACACAGCCAAATGAATAACAGTTTCCCAAATTTATTGTTCCTTTCACCTGCATTCTTGTGTCAGCCCCAACCCCCAACCTGCTCCACCCTTCATCCGAGGCAAGAATTCCCGGTGGAGACATTCTGAGGGCAGCCTCTCTCCAAGCTCCTCCTCCTCCACCCACTCCCCACCCCCTCACTGCCGCCTCCACCACCGCCCCTCCCCCATGCTCCCGCAGGTAGAGATGTAGCAATAACCCCAAAGGGAATTCACCTGCCCTCAGGACATCCCTTCTCTGCTGTCCTCCCAGCCTGCCCCTAAGAAGTGCTTCTAGGATTCCGCCCTGGGGAGGTAGCTGTCCGCACCAGGAGAGCCGGGCCAGCCCCACAGCCTGATGGAGACCAAATGACTCACCTGTGGTTAGCGCGGCCAGCCCAGGACCGCCAGATGGCCACACACACACTCACACTCACACACACTCACACACAGAGAAGACACATCACACATCATACACACACACTCACACACAGACGTGCAGACACACGTACACAGACACACACACACAGAGACACACAGACGCACTCTCACAGAGACACGCAGACACAGACACACACACCCAGACACACACACTCATACACATACTCACACTTACACTGTCACACACACTCACACACACGCTCACACACACTGTCACACACACAGCCCAAACCTGGCACCGCCAGGTCCTGGAGAACACCACTTGGGGGCGGAGGGAGAAGGGTAACTAGGCAGACTTTTAAATATATATATACTTATTAATCTACATTAATAATATCAGTACCTATGTTTATTAAATGCATATGAAAGATCCCTTTTTAAAGTAGCTCAGGAAGGAGAAGGACAGCGTGTGTGTCATTTCAGACGCCCGTTCCAGTGCTGTGAGCGCATTCGGTCGGGAACGTCCCGGGAGGGAAGGACACAGTCGAGGTCTGTACAGACCGAGCGGCCAGCTAGCTGACCCAGCATTACCGGGAGCAGGGCCCTCATTCACCCGCAGTACCTGCTCAAGGCAGGCCACATCTGACCAGGGCCCAACGTCACCCAGCTAGAAGGGCCCAGCCGGCCTTGACCTCAGGCCCTCTGACGTCAGTCAGGGTCTCGCTGATCGTTCATCCCCTCTTCACTCTTTCTTCATCCTCTCTAGGGCGTTCCCCACCTCCCAGCCCCACAAGATCCCTCACTGTGTGGCGGGTGTCAGCCCAAAAGGAGCTGACAGGCAGCAGCCCTTCCAGAAGCTTCCCATTGCTCTGCACACCCCCAGAGGACCCACACGCGGCCAAGCCCCCAGCTCGCTCAGAATAGCACTGTGGGTTCAGGGGCTGGCCCAGGAGCAGATCTGTAAATGACATCAGTAGGATCTGGCAAAAGACCTTTTATAAACAAGAGCTTTTCCTTTCCACACTCACTCTCATTTCTATGGGGTTGTTTCGATGGATTCATTAAAAACACAGCTGTAAAATTTGACATGGTCTGCCCCTTACCGCCTTCCCAACAAGTGTCGGGTACGCGTGGTCGGCGTGGCTCAGTGGAAACCACGGTCAGTCGGAGAGCTCTTCTGTCAGACTGAACATACTGGGGGATTCTTACCCCAGAATATGAAAAGTTGAAGAGAAGTTCGTGCTGCAAGCAAAAACAGGCTCCTCCGTCTGGGGCGTGTTCTGCTGTATGTCTAGGCGAGAAGGCTTGGAGGGACTCGGGCTTAGGAAAGACAGGCGGCCGCCTATACTGAGAGAAACTCAAAGTAGTCTCTCCCAGGCTGGAACAGGGCCTCTCAGAGATAAAGGGAGGGTGGAGGCGAGAGTCAACATCTGCTTTCTGATAATTAGCCAAAAACAGGAACTGCAAATAAGTTCTAGAGTCACCCTGTTAGAATGAGGCTTTCATAAAGTACTGTTTGAAAAAGAGCGGCGTTTAGGGGCAAGTGTTGTTGTCATTAGCTGTTGTAGAGTCAACCGCGACTCATGGCAACCCCAGGCACAATGGGGTCAGACTCTGGTGAGCCATAGAGTTTTTTCATTGGCTGGTTTCTGGACGTCGATCACTAGGCCTTTCTTCCTAGTCTATCTTAGTCCGGAAGCTCCACTGAAACCTGTTCAGCATCATAGTAACACACAAGTCTTCACTGACAGATGGCGGCTGTGTATGGGGTGCATTGTCTGGGAATCGAACCCAGGTCTCTTGCATGGAAGGGGGAAATACTACCACGGAACCACCACTACCCCCATCTGACATTGACTTAAAAAAACCAGTTGCCATTGAGTCAGTTTTGACTCATGGTGATCCCATGTGTGCAGAGTAGAACTGCTCCATAGGGTTTTCAAGGCTATGAACTTTTGGAATCAGATTGCCAGGCCTTTCTTCCAAGGCACCTCTGGGTGGGCTCGAACTACCAACCAGTCAATTAGCAGCCGAGGACCTGTTTGAATATTCACTACACATTGCTTCTTTCCTGCCCACCCCCTCGGGCACCCCCATGGAGATGAGTTAATCCTTTCTAGGCTTCCTCTCAATCACAGGGAGCCAGATGAGGTGGCTGCTGAGCCACTGAGATGGCCGACCTAGAGCTGCTGCATGTCAGCTGCTGAAGGGGGATAAAAGCCCCCCTGCCCGGGGCACACGTCAAAGCAGTTACACACACGGGAGGTGCAGGGCCCCAGAAGGCAGTGGAATGGTGGGGGGCAGGGGAAGAGGACAGGGCTCCATCTCTAAAATTCCTGGGCTCTCCACACGTCCTTTCTGAAGAGATGATGGCCCCCCTAGTCTAGAGGCTGAAGCTATTTCTAACAATCTTCACTAAATTGTGTTATTATTTGAGATGGTATGATTAACAAGGGTTATTGGAAATGAAAAAGTTTCCATTACTAAGCCCACCTTTGATTCAGGAAGTTTCCTTCTCAGCTCTTTTGAGAACTAGGGATCCACCTGGGGTGTACATGTTAAAGGGATGTTGCTGTCCACAGGGAAATAATTGAATGGAGAAAGTCCAGGTCTAGGGCTCTGACACCCCCATTTAGCTGTAGGGGACTTCTTGGGAGGCAGCCTTCCAGGACTATGAATGCTGGGAACAGAAGGGTCCCTGCCCATGACAGGCCCCCCCCATCCCCTTTACCCTGGGGTGTTGTTATGGGTTGAATTGTATCCCAAAAAAGATATGTTGAACTCCTAACCCCTCGTACCTGTGAATGTGACCTTGTTTGGAAATAGGGTCTTTGACGAGGCTATCAGTTAGGTTAACATGAGGTCATACTGGAGTAGATGGGCCCTGATCCCATCTGAGTGGTGTCCTTATAAGAAAAGAAGGCAGGACACAGAGACACAGAGGGAAGACGAGGCAGAGATTGGAGTGATGCAGTTACAAGTCAAGGAACACCAAGGATGGCCAGCAACCACCAGAAGCTAAGAGGCAAGGAAGGATCTTCCCCTAGAGCCTTCAGGGAGAGCACGGCCCTGCCAACGCGTTGTTTTCAAACCTCTGGCCTTCAGAACTGAGAGACAATAAACTTTTGTTGTTTTAAGCCACCCAGTTGGTGGTACTTTGAGATGATGGCCCTAGGAAACAAAGACCGGTGTGAATTTGAAAAGGAAAAATATCTGTAATATCTCAATAGGAGGGAAGTTCTGGGGGAAGAATCAAAGTCCCTCTTAGATCCTATCCTGAGAGGAGGGTTTCATCAGCCCAAACCATAGTGGGAAGTAACGGAAGAGGGAACAGAAAGAAACAGGTCACACCTTGCCCCAGGGGGTTGGTCCTGGTTCATCTCCTGCTGAAGAGAAGGCAGAGGCAAAGGGCATGCTTTGTGCCTCTGCTCCTTACCACAAGAACATGATGCCCTTGATCTCTTCAGACAACCCTGGAAGACCTCATGTGACGGGAGTGACCGTTGAATTGCGTTATGGAAAAGGCACTGAGCACTTGGCTGTGGAGCAGGATAACTCAATGGTTACCAGCTCTGGCTGCCCATTGGAACCCCTGGAAAGCTTCTGTACCAATGCTCAGTTCTACCCCCAGAGATGCCCATAAGTTGGTCCAGGGTGTGACTTTGGGCATTTGGGTTTGTAAAGGTTCCCAGGTGATTTGAATGCGCAGTCAAGGTTGAGAACCAGCGGGCTATCATGAGAATGGCCACACAGCTGTGGATAGTTGCTTCGATCCAACCCCAGCTTCATCCTCCCTCCGTTAGGACAGTAGTTCTCAATGGAAAGGCTTTAAAATCTTAACGCTCCATTTGCACCCTCTCCCATTAAAAAAAAAAAAGGTGCCACTGAGTTGACTTGGACTCACGGAGACCCTACGTGTGTCAGAGCAGAATTGTGCTCCATGGGGTTTTGGTGGCTGTAACCATGGGGTTTTGGTGGCTGGGTGGATTCCAGATTTTTCCAGGAAGTGGGAAATTTGTACCAGTGAGTTTTCAGGAAATTTCCTTTAACCTGAAGACTTTTCATGTTAATCACTTTTGCTGAAAATCCTTCTAAAATGCTTTACATCATTTCCTGCCTTCCTTAACAGAGCACACCAAACATAAATGGACCTTTTCTTGGTGGCTCAAGGACATCATTATCACCAACTAGCACAGCTGTCATTTACGGTTTGCGCAACTCCAGGGGGCACCACTCCCCTTGTAGTCATCATGGATTTTTACAGCTGTTTCCACAGTCTTCTGGAGCTGCACCTTTTCCTATCAGCTGGCAGTTGGGTTGCCAACCATTTCTGCACCATGCCCTGATACACAGAGGGGTTGTTGAGGTGGATGCATGTATTTACTCCTAGCCTTACATGGCCCCAGAGAACTGCAATTTATGATTATTCCTTCTCCTTACAGTATTAGTCTGACCTCTCCTTCACTTGTCTTCAGTTAGTCCCCAATTCTTGCGAACACATACCTCTAGCAGTCCACCCATCTCCTTCAAGCTCCCATCCTAGATGCAACCACTGAAGAACACCGTTGTCAGGTCATTGACTTGGCATTAAATGCATTTCCAAATCAGCCCACGTTTAGGGGAAGCCCCGAGGTTGGCGCCACGCTCCTCCCCACAAGTCTTGTGTCAGGATTTCGTGACAGCTCTCTTCCTTTAGGTAGTTACTTATGTTCGGATTCCTGGCCGCTATACACGGGTGGCTGGAGTAGCCAAAGTCTGGTCCTTTGATTACAAGAGTTGTGAGTTTGATTCTGGAGATCACAGGACAAGATGAGTCCTGCATTAACCCAGGGATGGCCCTTCTTGTCACCTGTCCTGGAGAAATACTCAGAGGGGCAGAGCCAGTGCTGTGGGCTCAGAAGTCAACAGCAGGGTCTCAGTTTCCTAGTGCTGCTATAACAGAAACACAACAAGCGGGTGGCTTTAACAAACAGATATTTATTTTCTCACAGTTTAGGAGGCACTGGCTCTAGGAGAAGGCTTTCTCTCTCTGTTGGCTCTGGAGGAAGGTCCTTGTTCCTTGGTTCCTTGATGATCTATCTTCCTCCATCTCTGCTTGCTTGCTCAGTTGCTTGCTCATCTGTTTGCTTAATCTTGCTGCCTTATATCTCAAAAGGAAATTGACTTAAAACACACCCCACACTAATACTGCCTCATTAACATAACAAAGAAAATCCATCCCTAAATGGGATTATTGAGTTAGGATTTACAACATGTATTTTGGGGACACAATTCAATCCATAACACGCAGCATCATTTATAACTGCAAAAAGGCAACAACATCCCCCAACAGGGAACTGTTTACCTCAATGTGGGGAGAGTCACGACATGGAATAGCGTCATCGAAACAGACATCAATGATGAGATTGAACGGTGAGGGACAGATGCAAAGTGAAATGCCGGGTAGACAGTTCACAGAGTCATCCATGAACTTGGAAGAAAGAGTGTGTGCCCAGCACAAGACTGGGAGGAAATACATAAACTAACATTTTAAATGCGTTGTGAATGACTGAATATACATGAACACTTCTGTCATGGATTGAATTGTGTCCCCCAAAAATATCTGTCAATTTGGCTAGGCCATGATTCCCAGTAGTGTGTGATTGTCCACCATTTTGTCATCTAATGTGATTTTCCTATGTGTTGAAAATGCTACCTCTATGATGTTAATGAGGCAGGATTAGAGGCAGTTACGTTAATAAATCAAGACTCAATCTACAAGATTAGGTTGTGTCTTAAGACAATCTCTTTTGTGATATAAAAGAGAGAAGTGAGCAGAGAGACATGGGGACCTCATACCACCAAGAAACAAGAGCATGTCCATTGGACCCAGGATCCCTGTGCTGAGAAGCTCCTCGACCGGGGAAGATTGATGACAAGGACCTTCCCCCAGAGCCAACAGAGAAAGAAAGACTTCCCCTGGAGCTGGCACCCTGAATTTGGACTTTTACCTCCTAGACTGTGAGAGAATAAATTTGTCTTTGTTAAAGCCATCCACTTGTGGCATTTCTGTCATAGCAGCAGTAGATAACTAGACAACTTCATTCTGATAAAACAAAGTGCTAAAGTGTGCAGTACTATTAACCAAAAAAAAAAAAAAACCCAAACCCATTACTGTCGAGTTGATTCCGAGTACGACAGAGTAGAACTGCCCCATAGGGTTTCCAAGGAGCAGCTGGTGGATTCAAACTGAGGACCTTTTGGTTGGCAGCTGAGCTCTTAACCACTGTGCCACGAGGGTGGTTGTACTAGGGACCAGTATTATTAGGGAACTCACTTGTGGAGCTTTGGGCTTTTAGTTTGTTTGCCTGCTTCTGTTTTGTTTCATTTTGTTGTGCTTTGTTTTAATACAGACTCTCTAGGGGTGGGACCCAGGCATACATATTTTTTCAGAACTTCCTCAAATGATCTTGGTGAGCAGCCAGGGTTGAAACCACTGGCCTGAAACATTCACATCTGACATGCCTGGGAACTTTCTGGAACCTACCACAGAGTCTGTCACCTCTCTCTCCTTTATGTGCACCTCCATGTCAGAGTCAGTCACCTTCAAGACCTACTGGCTAACCTCAAGGTTAGCCTGGGGGAGAACGCAGTCTACGTGAAGAATTAGCCTGGAGAAGAAGGCAGTGTGCGCACAGAAGGCAGTGTGCGCACAGAAGGCAGTGTGCACACAGAAGCCCGCTGAGCTCACTCTTTGTCTCTTCCAGCTGTGCTCTTCCCTGCTGCCCACCGGCCGAAAAGGCCCTCATCCATCCTGCTGAACCCAGTCTTGCAGACTTCCCTGGAGGAAGTAGAACTGCTCTATGAGGTAGGCAAAAAAAAAAAACCCGTTGCGGTTGAGTCAACTCCAACTCACAGTGACCCTATAGGACAGAGTAGAACTGCCCCCATAGGGTTTCCAAGGCTGCAATCTTTACAGAAGCAATCTGCCACATCTTTCTCCCACGGAACCACTGGTGGGTTAGAATCACCGACCTTTCAGTTAGCAGCTAAGCACTTAACCACTGCACCACTAAGACTCCTTAGATAAGGTCTATACCAAAAAAACAAAACCCACTGCTGTCAAGTTGATCGGACTCATAATGACCCTGTAGGACAGAGTAGAACTGCCCCATAGGATTTCCAAGGCTGTAATCTTTACAGAAGGAGCCCTGATGGTGCAGTGGTTAAAGTGGTTGACCACTAGCTGAAAGGTCAGTGGTTTGAAACCACTAGCAGCTCCACAGGAGAAAGATGTGGCTGTCTCCTTCTGTAGAGACTTACAGCCTTGGAAACCATATGGGGTTGCTATGAGTCATGACTGACTTGACAGCAGTGGGTTAATCTTTACAGAAGCAGACTGCCACATTTTTCTCCCGAAGAGCCACTGGTGGGTTTGAACTGCCAAGCTTTCAGTTAATAGCCAAGCGCTTAATCACTGTGCCACCAGGGCTCCATGAGGTAGGCAGAGGGGGCCAAAAGGCACTGCATCATCTCTCTCACTTTTGGAGAAGAAGTGGCCTGAGTCCCTGAGAATTAGTAGTCTCCGCTATGGCAGGGCCTGGCCTAGACTCAGTTGAGGAGGTTGTCTAATCCTGCCCATGTTAAAGTAAGGTATTCCTCTTACCTCCTCTCCTTTCCTACACGCTGTAACAGGGAATAATGGCACTAGGAATCCAGTCAGGGCAGAATTAGAGATTTAAGTTTGGGCCATGGGTGTCACTATTGGCACCCAGCACCATGTGTGTGGCGATAATCCCAGGCAGGACTCCCCTGTCATGCAAGGCAATGCCAAGCTCATTGTCTGAGTGAAGCTGTGTGAGGGCAATGCCACTTCTGGCTACCCTGCTAGCCCTGCATTGTTTCTGAAAGCCTGGGCCACCCCGTAGGCTCTCCTCTCCTCCCACACCCCATCCCTGTGGCCCATCCTCCTCCAAACTGGGGAGTAAACTACCTGAAGCAGCCTGGTGCAGTGGTAAGAGCCCAAGCTCAGGAGCTGAGTTCTAGTCCTGGTTCCACCACCCACCAACTGCGTGTCCTTGCACAAGTCACCATTCTCCTCTGGGCCTGAGTCCCCTCCACTGTTAAATGAGGGGATTGGACAAGGAGCTCTGGAATTCCCCTGCAGCTTGGACATGTTCTGACTCCATGCGCTACAGCTGACCAGGTAAGAAAGAGACAGCCTGCTGTAGCCAAACAGGTAAGCCCAGGAGGGATTTCAAATCCTGCCTTGGGGAGCACACTGGAAATATGAAGCCTTTGCCAAGTCTTGAATGTGGGTGTCGTATGAGCTGATCTATGAGAAAGACAGCAGACAGAGTGTGGAAGATGGATTGGAGCAGGGGGAAGATGGAGGCAGGAAGACTTGTTAGAATTCTGAGTCATTCCATCTGAAAAGTGGTTACTGGTTCCAACTATGGACCTGGCACTGTGCAGGGGGTGAAACAGGGTATATGAAAGACCTGTCCCTACTCTTAGAGAACAAGTGAGAGAAGAGGACATATCTCTGTATCCCAATTAATTCCTGCACAATTCTCTGCATCCTTTGAATTCTCAGGAGCCCTGGCGGCACAGTAATTAAGAGTTTGGCTGCTAACCAAAAGGTCAGCAGTTTGAATCCACCAGCTGCTCCTTGGAAACCCTACAGGGTAATTCTATTCTGTTCTGTAGGATTGCTATGAGTCAGAATCAACTCGATGGCAATGGGTTTGGTTTTTTTGTTTTCTTTTTTTTTTTTAATTTCTCAGTTTATGCTTAATAATTATCCAAAATAGTCAGTTTATGCTTTAGAAGAACTTTGGTAGGTGAGAAGGGAAAAAGGAGGAAGGGATTGATCTTGGACACTAGAAATAATAATTGGTCACTTAAATAGTGGCTATGTACCAGCACCGTGTTAGATGTTGTCCACATTTACCTGATTTACCTCACACAATATCCAAGTGACATAGATGTTATTAAAAATTGCCATCAAGTAGATTCTGACTCATGGCGAGCCCATGTGTGCAGAGTAGAACTGCTCCATAGGGTTTTCAAGGCTATGACCTTTCAGAAGCAGATCACCAGGCTGTTTTCCAAGGCCCCTCTGGGTGGGTTCAAACTACCAGGCTTTCAGTTAGTAGCTGAGTGCTTAACCATTTGCATCACCCAGAGACTCATAGAAGTTGCTACTAATCATTTTAAAGAGGAGGAAATTGAGGCTCAGAGAAGTTAAGTAACCCATCCAAGGTTGCATAGTAAAGGGGGCAGTCAGCTGGAGCCCAGGTCTCCTTGGCTCCCGAAATGAATGTGTGCGCTAATGAATAAAACTTTATTCACAACAATGCCCAGCTCATGTCTTTCCACGTCCCGTATTTCTCGCCAGTTCCTCCTTGCTGAACTCGAGATCAGCCCAGACCTGGAGATCTCCATTAAGGACGAGGAGCTCTCCTCCTTGCGGAAGGCCTCTGACTTCCGCACCATCTGCAATGACGTGATCCCCAAAAGCATCCCAGATATCCGCCGGCTGAGCGCCAGCCTCTCCAGCTACCCTGGCATCCTCAAGAAGGAAGACTTTGAAAGGACAGCGCTGACCCTGGCCTACACAGCCTACCGCACGGCCCTGGCCCAAGGGCATCAGAAGGACGTCTGGGCCGAGGCCTTGCTTAGCCTATTCCAGGTCCTGAGGCACGACCTGATGCGGTCCTCGGGCCCCAAAGGGTCACTCTGAGAGACTGGCCCACACAGGGCCGCAGAGCAAGGACCAACACACACAGTAATCCAGAAGTCCTTTATCCTCTACTCCATTATGGAGACCGGCAGCAGATAAAATCCTGCTACCCCTTGTAGCTTCCTGAAAAACTAATCTGAGTCATGCCCTAAGGTGGTCTGGGCTGGAAGACAGGGTTCTTCCAGATACCTCCAGAGGAGGAAGGGTTTCTCTAATCCCACGCAGAAATCTAAGATCTGCTTCAACGTTGAGCAATTGTCACAATACCCAAAAGTGAGAAGAGATTTAAGGAAGGCTGGGGAGATGGGGGACAGATTTGTTTCTTCCTAAGGGACCAAAGTGCAGGTTTGAAAAGCCATCTTTTCCAAAGTTTCTGTTAGCAGGATTAAAGAAATGAGAGCTATACTCAAATAAACACAACATTAGCCAAGGATATATTTCTCAACTTCTCCAAAAGCCATCATGAAGATTCAATTAGAAAATCACTAATTGTATGACCTGTATGTCTTGGCTCTTCTTTCTGGAAGGCTGGTCTAACACAGAGGGGCAACGTGAAGGGGCCTGTAGAAATGCTACCAGTCCAAATGGTTACTCTCATCTTTGAACAGAGAAGCTGAGCTACTGCGGAGAGGGTCACCCTAATGGGAGAGATGGCACCAACACCCATGCCTGTCTGTCCTTATGTTCAAATTCTTCAGCATCACCTGAGAATTACAGCTTCCAATGGAAATGATCTCCAGAAGACAGAATTCCACCCCTTCAAATGCCAAAACTCATTTTTAGCACTATTGACTTCATATCTTCATTAAACTACATATATGAAACATTCTAATCTTTCATTTGGGGCCCGGGTGGCACAGTGGTTAAAAGCCTTTGCCTGTTAACCAAAAGGTCAGTGGTTCAAATCCACAGACACTCCTTGGAAACCCTATGGGGCAGTTCTACTGTCCTGTAGGGTCGCTATGAGTCAGAATCAACTCAATGGCAACAGGTTTTTTTTTTTTTTTTTAAGCTTTAATTTAGTACCTTAAGATTTAAGATAATCACTTGACACATTCTAATGAAGGAATTGGATAAGATCATCTCCAAGTTTCCTCATAGTCCTAGAATTTCTACATTTATTTAACCAACTGTGAGATACTACAGAGGACATGTGGATCAATCTTAAATGTCTGTTGACCCGTTTGCACCGACTCTGAAAGGTCCCAAACCAAAGTGAAAGCCACACCAGTTGCCGTCAAGTCAATTCTGATTCATGGCAATGCTGTATGTCGCAGAGAGTACAACTGTGCTCCACTGGGTTTTATTTTATGTATTTATATACATATATATATAATATACCTATATAAAATTTATTTTATTTTGTTGTTGAGAATATGCAGAGCAGAACATACACCAATTCAACAGTTTCTACCTGTAGAATTCAGTGACATTGATTACATTCTTCAAGTTGTGCAGCCATTTTCCCCCTCCCCTTCTGAGTTGTTCCCCCTGCTATTAACATAAACTCACTGCCCCCTATGTTTCCCATCTAATCTTTCCAGTTGCCGTTGTTAATTTGATCCCATATAGATGGATGTTAAAAGAGCATAATGCTCAAGGCCGACGTTCGTTACTAGTGAAGCTAAACTATTGTTCGGTTTTAAGAAGACTTCAGGGGCATTGGGTTTTCAGTAGCTGATTTTTTTTTTTGGAAGTAGATTGTCAGGCCGTTCTTCCAAGGTGCCTCTGGGTGGGTTCAAACCATCAACCTTGGGTTAGTAGTCTAGCACTTAACTGTTTGCACCACCCAGGGCCTCCTCTGAAAGGCCCCAAGCTTTGGTAACTCTGTCCCTCTGTCCAGTTCTGAGTTTTTCTGTCACTACCAGGCTATTAGCTTTTCTTTTTTTTCCAGATTCCAATTTTTTTTTTTAATTGTGCATTAGTCGAAATTTTACAGAGCAGATTATTTTCTCATTAAACAATGAATACACGGATTGTCTTGTGACATTGGTTGCCAATCACGTTTCTTTGTTACCAACAAAACACGCTCTTTTGAGTTTGTTCTTTTTGTCTGTTGTTGCCTAAAAACTAAGACAAATAGGCTGATTACGATTCCGTATTAAATAACGGTTAATAGTGAAGGCCTCTGCTAGGAGTAAAGTGCCTGGGGTCTAATAAGGGTTCCTCACCAGTTCAGACCTTTCTGACTCCACCTAGGTTCACAGCTGGGTTCTAGAGGCTTAGTCTGCAAGAAGTCTAATCTTATAATGACTGAGGATATACTGGGCTAAATTTGAGTCCAAAATGTATTTAACAACAGTCATGGCCATTTAATGATGATGAAAGCTGATCTGGACTTCTTTAAAATTTTTGAACAAATGAGCTTTGCCTACTGGCGCAGCTGCATGGTCTTTTGGAGAAATACAAGGATGCAGAAAGAAGGTCTTCATCATCAGAGAGAAGCACAACTCTGCACCCTGATGTTCTCAGGCTCGGAAGACTCCTCGCTGTCCGTCTCTGTCTCTTTCTCATTCCCCGGTTAGACTGCTCTTTCTACTTCTCTCAAATGCAAACTCTCATATATGCTTATTGTTCAAGCCTGCTTTTGCTGGTATTATGTTCTCCTTGCTGTGGTCACTATGCTCATCTCTCCTTATTTTAGCTGGTGTCTCTGCGGCTCTGTCTTAGGGCCAATATGATTATCTTCATATCCATTTCTGGATACAGCGACACGTCTCTTCCAGTTGCCTTTGGTGCTCTCTATCTCTGCCTGCCCATTCAATCGCTAGAAAAGGACATCACGTTTGGTAGAGGGTCAGTAAAAATGAGGAAAACTCTTCGTGAGATGGACTGACACCATAGCCTCAACAATGGGCTCAAATGTACCAATGGTCATGGAGGTGGCGCATGGCCTGGCAGCGTTTTGCTCTGTAATACACAAGGTCACCATGAGTTGAAGCTCACTTGACAGCAACTAACAACAACAACATCTCTGCCTGCCCCTGCTCTGACCCTTGCTGTCCTCTGTCTCCTTTGGGGGTCATTGTCTGAATAAAACAAAGGTTAGTGTGCAGGCGGGGTTGATCAGCCATCAGCCTCACAGCCCGCCTTCACTATATGCACTTTCCTGGACATGGAGGTCAGGGTAGGTGGGAAGTAATGGCCTTTATCCCCGGACACAGTACAATATTCTGACAACCAGTAGCTTGGTTTCTCTGTTCAAAGGACGAGGAGTGACTGTTTGGACTGGTAGCGTTTCTATGGGCCCCTTCATGTTGCCCTTCTGTGTTGGACCAGCCTTCAAGAAAGAAGAAGAAAGATATATAGATCATAAAATTACAACATTCTTGCATCCCACCTTGAGATCCTTCTCCCCCATCAGAATGGATCCAAGAGCTCCCTGGCAGTTGGAATCACCAGGTAGACAGACCCATGCCTGGAGTCCTTGCCCATCAAGTTATGGGGTCGATGGCTGCTCCCAGGGGTAGGAGGTGCGACTGGGAAAAGATCCCTGGACCACTGATATCAGCGGTAGCTCATTCACCCAAAAAACTAAAGGCACTTTATATTCATAAATCGGGGCCTGAATTTATGTGGCAATCAACGGTTGAAAAAATAAGGGTAATGTCCTTTATAGAGACAAAGGAAAACTTTTCATTTTCCATAACTAGGGACTTAATTTTTTTCGAATACAAATTAATTTTCTCCCTACAAGAAGTTTTACAATGATGACCTCATTTACAAGCAAAATTAAATAATATGCTCACAACCCCCACTCAAAAATTCTCCCCTTCGCCCAACGAACACTGAAGTACTAGACTGAGCAGAAATGGACCAGATGCTGCCATTCTGCCTCTCGAATTCCATGCTGTACACAATCACAGTCAGGTCACATTTTGGTCATGTTTACTCCTAGAATCATCTGGGGAGTGGAAAACATGCCTGTGACTTACGGAATCATTTCTGTACTGCTGGGAAATTTTAGAATTGAAAAATTCTATAAGTTTTCTCTCTCATTGGCATCCACACGACCATCTCTGAGGTCACTCAAGAGACACTGACAAGCATCTGTATACAGATGTTTTTCTTGGCTCCGTTTTCTCCACTTGTAGTGAACTGAAAGGGAATTCCATATGTGGTAATTCAGTCAGGAGCTATTTCCACAGATAAGATACAAGTGAAGGGCGCCCTTATTTTTGTAACCCATTTTAACGTCTTGCATTTCTTCAGCATTATGCTGGACAAGGTTGTCTTCATCTGAAAAAATGGAAAGACTTCTGAGGGAGAGCTGCCGGTCTTACTGTGTGGCTCACCTTACCTAATTTTATTTAACAGATCTTCATTTATGGTATAATAAAAAATGCTATGGCCCATTTTTTAAGGTCACCAGAGTCTTTGTTATCTCAGATTATCTCACTCACAGGAATCTAGAGTCATTCAGGGGTTGAACAGCAGTTGTTGACTTCCACAGCTGCCTCAGGACCCCAGCATGCGGCCGCTGTGTCTCCAGCTGTTCATTATTATCCAGTCTCTTTAATATTTGCAACCAAAACATCGTACATATGGTACTGTTCATTTGGAGTTTCAAAATCATTTCAAAAATGAGGCCAGAATGTAGTAAATACAGTAGCCAGTTCTTAACATGCATTTAAAGAAGTGAGTCATCCCAGCCCATTCTACAATGGCAAGATAATTTCAGAGGGGACCGCAGCTGGTCAGGGCTGCACTGTTCTCAAAGTCAAGAAGAACTGGTTTTCTGGAGTCATTTCCCGGCCACTTTACCTTTAGCCTGGGGATCATTTCCAACTGGTAGAGATGCAGGTCTTGGAACACCATTCCCTGCGTTCTCTTCAAGAGAATGTAGGCTTTGTAACCCCTTGAGCCAGTTCAGCTTCTCCCAGATCAAGGCAATACTGCCTAAGATCACCACTTCTAGAAGGTTTGGGGTTTTCTTTTTTTCTCGTTTTTTTTGTTTTTTTTTTTTGTCTTCCTCTCCCCAGATCCACATATCCTTACTGAGAAAAGATGCTAACAGTTTCTCCTGTTCTGTAGACAGGAGAAATTCCAGAATCCAGCTGCTGCTAAGGCCCTGTCCCTGAACTTGTCAACTTCTTCCCTGCCCTTTCAGCCCTTCCTTGTATACCAGCTATCTTCTCTTTTCTCCTTGTGGATGCCTTCTGCTTCCTTCTTGGGAAAGAGCCTCATAGAGGAGCACTGGAGCATCCCTTGAGCCAGAAAGGACACAGCCATCTGGGCTCAAAAAGCCCAGTTGCCATCAAGTCACTTCTGACTCAAGACGACCCCCTCTGTGTCAGAGTAGAACTGCTCATAGGGTTTTCTTTTTGTTTTGTTTTTTTTTTTCTGGTTTTTTAATCACATTCTATTGTATTTTTGGTGAAAGTTTACACAGTAAATTAGGTTCCCATTTGACAATTTCTTTACAAATTGTTCAGTGACATTTAATTACATTTTTCACAATGTATCAACATTCTCTTTAATTGCATTCTGGTTGTTGCATTTCCAATACTCTAGTTTCCCTCTCCCCATATCTTCTCGTCTTCCCCATCGGGTTTTCAATGGCTGATTTTTGGCAAGTAGATCACCAGGCCTTTCTCCCAAGGTAACTCTGAGTGGACTTAACCCATTAACCTTTTGGTTAGCAGCCAAAGGCTTAATCATTTGAACCAGCCAAAAACACCCAAACCAAACCAGCTGCTGTTGGGTCAATTCTGACTCATGGCAACCCCATGTGTGTCAGAGAACTGCTCCACAGGGTTTTCAATGGCTGTGGCCTTTGGAAGTAGACCACCAGGCCTTTCTTCAAGGCACCTCTGGGTAGACTTGAACCTTCAACCTTTCATTTGCAACCTTAACCATCTGCACCACCCAGGAACTCCTCTGGGCTCAAAGGGCCTCCACGTGAGACTGGCTTCTGGACGTTTCCAGAGAGGCAGCTACCCTTCCTTTCTCCCTAAGAAGGGTCTGTGTTCTTTCTTACAGGCTAACAGGCTTGGCTGGCGTAAACTGTTTTTCACCCAGGTGCTGAAGCAAATGATCTCTGCCAGCAGGGAAATCTGAAAGGCTTACAGCTGGACGCTCTGGGGCAAGTTTCTCCAGAATTAATATTCCGTTTTCTCCCTGCCACCAAACACTTCATCTCCCTAAGGACTGGGTCAGCAACTGGCCCTCCCAGGCCTATGTCCCCAACAATAGCAGTGCTTGGAGCGGTGGAATCGTGTTGACGAGGATGGTCATCTCTGAGCCCCCGGGTTGTTTGTTGGAGAAACTGAAAAATAAGCTTTGCAAGCTGACTTGGTTCCGCAGGCTCAGCAGGCTCCTGCTGTGGCCAGTCAGGAGCCGCTTTGGGCAGAGGGCTGGGCTGTTCTTTCCAACTTGCTGATTGGCTGGGAGGGATAGGCGGGGCTGCTTGCTCCATCCTGGCCTGCCATAGGTGAACTGAAGTCAAAGGTGGGCCGATAACAAGTGTTTGTCCTGGGACAAAAAGGAATGTCTTCTGGGCTTTTTCTGTTCTGGAAGCCCAAGCTCAAGGAAGATCATAAGTGTGAAGCCATCTGAAGGAAAGATATTTGGAAGGAGTGAAGTGGCAGGTCCTGGGAGGAAAGACCAGCCCTACCTGAAGTCCGCATGGGCCTCTAGCAAACTCAGGGGCTTGTTTTAAGGGAAAGGGGTCGTAGCATTTTACCAACAGCAGCACAGGTAGGAGCTGAAACTGGTGCTCCTCCAAAACAGACCTTCCAAGGGAGGAACGAGGGTGGAGGGCCTGTAAATGAGCCCTTCAGGGTCCCACAGCAGCAGCCAAGGTGTACTTGTGACTGGCTAAGAGGACCTGGCTGACTTGGAGAATGAAGTTGCTCGACCGCTAAGCAAGCCCAGAGGGACCCCACTATGTCCGCGTTTATAATCCTCTCCCAGTTCCTTTTTGCTGGCCATAAAACCATGCTCATTAACCCTACCTAAAACAGAAGCCAAGGACCCAGGCTTTTGGGGACCCAGAGGTGTACCTGCCTCCTGCTCAGCCCCCGAGACAGAAGAAGAGTCTCCAGAGAAAGACGCCAAGGAGGTTCCAGAAGTCTTTCTGGACAGGGAGCGCCTAGTGAGGCCCAAAGGCCTTCCCCAGCAGGGCAGGAGAGGGCAGGGACAGGTCCACCATGGGCCTGCTGAGCGGCCTGCTCGGAGCCCGCAACCTGCTGCTGGTCATCCTGGTCCCTCTGCTGCTGCTGCCTCTGCCCACCCTGCACCCCAGCAGTGTAAGTACGACCTGTCCCCCTGCCTGGCGTGGGCTCGGGTCGGGGGGCTGGGAGGGAAGGGGCTGAGGGACCCGGTGCTTCTGCAGCACCTGAAAAACGCTCCTTTGTTTGTGGGAAGACTTGGGGATGTCTTTCTGGAGGATGCTAAGATACCTTCTTCCTAAAAACTGCCATTCTCGTCCCTCTTTCCCACTCCCAGGCCCCCAGCCCCAAGGTCCCCAACCAGATTAGAGTAGGTACCTTGTCTGGAATGACTGGTCTGTGGGCCAGCCTGCCCCAGCCGCGACCAGGCAGCCATAAAGAGAAGGACATGCTGCTGAGTCTGAATTCCTTGGGAGCCAACATGTGACCATCTTTATCTGGGAGCAGCTGGAGACCTAGGAAGACCTCCCAATAATGGCCCGAAGGAGCAGGACGGGGCAGGGGCAGGTCTGTTCTCAGCGAGGACCCTTGGGCACCTGTCCCCGGTCTGGGGTCGGGCCGTGGTGGGCGCTGGTAACCCGAAGGCACAGCTCCTCATTCCTGTGAATGCTAAGTGGAAAACGGAGCTTGGCTTGCTGCCCTGGCCCCGTGCTTAAGGCCCTTTGAGTCCCTGTGTCCTCAGCAGTTTCTGCTCTGTGCTCTTCAGGAGAGACATAAAATGGTACATTCACACACAAGTCAGAGCCTCACGCTCTAGGCTGTAAGCTAGTCTTTATCAGGGGCTGTGTGGGCGCCCAGGAGCCGGAGCTTTGGCTCTGCATTCAGCTGGCTTCTCAGACCCATCCCTCGCCTCCATTTCCTTCCTTTCTCTGTTCTTGTCTCCCTGCCTGTGGCCTCACCCCTTCCCCCACCCGGCACCACCCTGGGTTTTTAGGAAAAGTAAGCTAAGTGTTTGTGGGAGGAGAGGCTGGCTTTCCCTTAGCCTCCCGAGTGACTTGGTAACCAAGATTAGATTAAAAATTTAAATAGAGGGGATTAGGATGGCTCCTCAGGAAAAAAAAAAAAAAAACTGGCTGAAATCTTTAGTAGAATAAACACCCCAGAGTGCCAGGGAGACGCTGATTAAAACCGGGCTGCGCCTAGCGGCTGACAGTTCTGGCTTTCCACGAGTCCGGCTGCTTCCTCCAATGCGCCTGAGTTCTGGCCGTCCAGTCTTACTCAACGTCAGACTGATTTCAGGGGGCGTGCACGAGAGACACAATCGTCCTTCTCTCCGTGGCAGCATCAGGAGCCCCTGCCTCCCCCCAAGTCAGCCCCACTTTGGGGGACCATGACTTTGGGGTATAGTGTTTCCCTCCATTTCGTTCTGGGGCCCCTTGAATGTCTTAGTTATGGATGACTGCTGAGAAGAATCCACGGGAAGGAATACAATTGAAGTAAGAAAAATTATAAGTTTGAGGGCAGAGAGGTATTGTGGGAGGGGAAAAAAATGGAGGGAAAAGGAAAGCGTCTCCTCTGTATAGGTATGGAAAACTGTTGCGACATTTAAGCCTGTACTGAGGCCAAGAGACAGTGTTGTTTCTGACCTTGCAACTTCTCTCAACCTGAGTTTCACCCTTGGGTCTCTCAGCAGGGGCACTGTTGACATTTGAGGCCCGATAATTATGGGCAATTGTGACAACCAAAAATGCCTCCAGACTTTGACAGGTGCTCTCTGGGGGCAAAATCCTCCCCAGGTAAGAGCCACTGCATAGGGAAATAGATACTGTCTACCTCAGAGCTCCCAGTCAGCGTCCACGGCTTGTGGACTGCAGGGACATTCCAACCCCTTTCTCTGCATTCTGCCTCTTTCCCAGAAAAAAGATGGGAGTGAGTGGGCTCAGGTGGGGCGGAGAGCTTTGAACTCCTTCAAGGAGTTTTATTTCTGTGACAATGAGGGCACTTCTCTAAACTGCGTTCTTTTCCAAAAGGAGCCATTCTGATTTCACTGTTGATTCTGCTGTCTAAGCAGCGCTTCCAAATGTTTTAACTTCCCTCTGATCTTGCGGCCCCAAGCAAGTCTCAGTGGGAGCTACAGTCAACAGTTGTTGGGCCCGGTTCCCATTTCTCAAACCCCAACCCGATAATCCATGGGAAGCAGGAGGGAACACAGTCCCATCCAGCCGAGCCAGGTCAATCACTCCTGCAGCTCCTTGCTGACTGCAGTGACCTTTTGTATCTTTGGTGCAAGAGTTGGAGGACGCTTGTGCTGAACCCAAGAGGGTGTAACCAGAACAAGATTTGTCAGGTGCCTTGGTCAGCAGCCAGCCTCCAGGCAGGTCAGACCTAAGCTCGGAGATTTCAGAACTAAGTCAGAACCGCCGAAGGTCCTTGGGTGGCACGAATGGTTTGTACTCGTCTAGTGAAAAAGGAGCCCTGGTGGCGCCGTGGTTAAGTGTTGGCTGCTAGCTGAAAGGTTGGCAATTCGAACCCACCTGCAGCTCCTTGAGGGAGAAGATTTTCCTCCATAGGAAAATCTGCTCCTATAAAGACTACAGCTTAGGGAGCCCTACGGGGCAGTTCTACACTGTCCTGTAGGATTGCTATGAGTTGGAATCAACTCAATGGCAACCAACAACAACAACACTACCCTAAAGGTTGGTGGTTTGAGCCCACCCAGTGGCACCTCAGAAGAAAGGCCTGGTGATCTGCCTTCATAAAAATTACAGCTAAGAAAACCCCATGGAGCAGTTCTACTCTGTAATACATGAGGTCACCATGAGTCAGGATCAACTCTGTGGTAATGGGTTTAAAGATGGAGGAACCCATAGCCAGCTTGGGTTTTCTACACATTGGCCCTCAGAGTCCCGGGGTTTGGCAACATTACCATCATTGAGGCCCTGGGACAGTGAGTGACCTCACCCAACATCACTAATCAGCCCCATTCAGGACAGTCAGCATTACTGGGGCTAAGGTTAAGGAGGGCCAATTTTTATTAAAAAATGGTGTATGTATTTGCTCTGTGAACCTCTAGGTTGTGCAGCCAGGAAGGTGAGCGGCCTGGGGGGACATGATAAATCTCCAGACCTTCCCTCCAAGGTAGACAGCAGTGTGGAGTCCCTTTGTAAGAGGCTAGTTCCCGTGCATCAGATAGAGGTGGAATGGATGGACACCAGAGCAGTGAGAGCCAGGCGTTGGTTAGGGCCGTGCTTCTCAGCTAGGGCTCTTTTGCCCCCCAAGGGACATTGGGCCATGTCTGGAGACATGTTTGTCTGCCACAGCAAGGTGGGGTGGTGCTCCTTGTCTCTACTGATAGAGACCGGGGATGCTGCTATGTATCCTACAATGCACAGGACAGCCCCCACAACAAAGAGTTATCTGGCCCAAAATATCAATAGTGCTGATGGTGAGAAAACTCCAAGTTAGGGATTCGTTCCTTTTCCTCATCCAAAGAGATCACCCATTATGTGGATTACTGCCGGCCTCTCCACCCCAACCTCCTGCCCTCTCCCCTCCCCGCCCCTCCCATCCCCTCCTCTCCAGCTCATTACAGACTCTTCAGGGAGGACCTCTAGATGCTCCTACAAAATGATAGAACCTCAGATTGAAGAATGAAGGGGAAATAGTGAGCCAACCAGGTCTTGCATTTGCACGATGCCTAACAAAGTATTTCATTACAATTTACTGCTGTATTGAGCTGTTCTGAGCAATCGTCTAAAGCTGAGGTATTTACACTTTATTTGTTCATTTTTGAAGCAGTGGAGCCCCTTTTTTTTAAAACAAAATCTTGTGTGTAATTCAGTGTAAATCAAATGACAGCAGAGGTTCCCTGGTTGGGGTGAGGCTGGAGAAGGGGGCTGGATTCGAGGTCCTACTGGGCTCCTTCCATCCCCTGCAATGTTCCTGCGACCCCCTCCCCCTCCCCAATCCCAGGGCTACAAGAGCACCTTTTGGAATATTTGTAATCCAAGAATCTCACCTCCTATGACCTGTGTCTCTCCGATAGGGCACACACCCAAATGCCCCCACAGCCTCCATATTTTACACACACTGTTGAACTCAGGATGGCTTAGCTCAACCAACCACACACATCGATCCCCGCAATCTTGAAGCACCTTCCAAAAACCAAACCCACTGTCACTGAGTCGATTCCGACTCAGGGGGACCCCAGGTATTACAGAGTACACCTGCTCTATAGGGTTTTCTTGGCTGTAATCTTTCCGGCACCAATGGGTGGTTTTGAACTGCCAACCTTCAGGTTAGTACTCACGTGCAAACCGTTTGCTCCACTCAGGTACCTCTGAAACACCTGCAACTATGCTGAAACGCTTTGGTTTCAGATCAACGTGACAACAAAATGTTATGCCCGGCTTTGAACTCCATCTTCATGGTGTATGCTCTGGGCCTGGATGCTGCGGTTGGCGTTCAGTCCCCGCCCGCCCCGGTTTCCGGGTCCAGCAGAGCTGCACGCCATCGCAAGCCGAGTGCCAGGCCTCGTCCACCCAGGACGCAGCCGTGCGTGATTCACGCACCAGGGTGGGGCCCACACGTGCTCGCCGCACTCCCCGGTCCGGCCAGCAGGGGGCCTTCCTCTGCTCTGCTCCCAGGATGGGTTCTCCTGGCAGTGGCTGCCCTGCCCCTAACCTCCTCTTTCCTCTCGTTTTGCAGGAGGCCGCGTGTGCTTACGTGCTGATCGTCACCGCCGTGTACTGGGTGTCCGAGGCCGTGCCTCTCGGAGCTGCAGCCCTGGTGCCCGCCTTCCTCTACCCGTTCTTCGGAGTCCTCCGGTCCAGCGAGGTTAGAGCACTGTGGCCCAGCCCCCTGGTGGTCCCTGGCGGGCCAGAGGAGGAGGACGCACGGTGAAGGGGCACTCACGGAGCACCCTTTTAACAACCCCTTAGCACTTAGCCTGTATATCTACTGCTCCGGACCCCCGAGTGCCTCTCCTCCCATCCGTGAGCCCCATCCCCCTCAAACTGGCTCAAAATGAGCCTCTTTCAGGAAGACTTCTTTGATTAGTCTCATCCATCCAATTGCCCCTTTAGTCTGAGACCCTGCAGGAAATATAGGACTGGTATTTATGACTAGGCTGCTGTTGATCTTCAGTCTTTTGTATGTCTAGACTAAGTACTCAAAGGAAAGGCAAGAATTGGGCCTCCCTTTCTTTTGAATCTCATTAGAAAGCTGAGCACATATACAGTAGGTGCTCAATAAATGTTTGTTGACAGAAAGACTTACCATGTTTCCCTGATTTCTGACAATATTTTCATTTACCTCTCTAGAAGACATTTCTGTTCCTTCTGCCCCAAATCAAGGTGACCGCACGTCCCTTCCTTGGCTGTGCTCTGCCTGGAATCTGCCCTCTCTGGTTCACTCTTGTTCTGTGGCATTCTCAAAACGTCAAACAGAAATTGTCAACATGAAGCCCAGGTTGTGGCCAGATTTCAGGGGAAACACTTAAGCCTATCGAAATTAGGGAAGAAGGAGAAGAGCCAGAACCAGGGCAAAATCAGTGATGGTCCTCATTCGTGAATACACCAAACCAATTGTCTTCGAGTCGAGTCCAACTCACGGCGACCCACGTGAGTCGGAGTAGAGCTGTGCTCCATAGGGCTTTCCATACCTGGTTCCATTTGGGCACTCTGATTACAGCACCTGGTCTCCTTTCCTGTTTTCCTAGAGTTTCTGCTGAAGAAGATTGAATGGTAGAGGTGGGAGTGAGGTTAGGGACAGAGGCACCGAAGGAAGAGGAAGGGAAACTAATGTTTGAATGCCTACTAAGAACCAGGCAGTATCCCAGAAGTGCTACATTTATTGTTTAATACTCACCAGATCTCTACAAGGTGGGTGTTAATATCTCCATTCTGCAGATGAGGAAACAGGCCCAGAGAATTAAGAAATTTACCCAAGATCACAAAGAAGGAAATGGCAGTGCTGGATTCAGACCCACATCTATCCGATTATAAAGTCTATCCCCTTGCTTAGTATGCCATCAAAAAACACTCCATAAAGTATCATGTGGCTTCATGGTGAGTTTTCACCAAGAGCTGTGGGTCTTTTCGTCTTTGTGATATAAGGACAGAAGAATGAAGCTGGGCCTATAGAATGCCTTGGCAGTAGATAACAGAACTTTTTTGAAAGTCCAAAGATAGAATGAGGCAATCCCCTAATAGTTGTACTTGACCGTATGTGAACAGTTTGTCTTTCTTCTTTGTGGACTCAACCGGCCAGCTTTAGTATTTTGGTTTTGGGTTTTGGTGGGTTTTTTTGTTGTTTGGTTTGATTTTCTGGTTTTGTTTTTGTTGGTGGTGGTTTTGTTTGTTTTGGTGGCATTGAGTAGCCATAGCCTTAGGCTTTCCAAAAAGAATAGGATCCTGAGAACCCTGAGCAGTGCTTGTATTCCTGGAGGTGTGTACAACACTGATATCGTAGGACCCACTTAAGAGCTTGTCTGCAACCTGAATTACCAGGCAGTCACCCCAGTTTCCCAAATTCCTTTATGGAAGAATAGGTAGTTTGGGTTTGTGAGCATGCTTAAAAGAAAAATCAGCCTTAACCATGAGTTTTCTTAAGGGAGGCATATGAACTGTTTGTGCAGGGTTCTCTGTAAAATTGTGAAAGCAGACACCAGTGGGGCAGGGGGTGATATTAAAGGGTAGAAGAAAAAAGTGATGTTTTTAAAAGAACTGACTCATAAGTAACATTTTAAAGTGAGACAACAATTAATTAAGAGAGCTACATCTTTGGATTTCACTACAGGCAGCCCAAAAGTCAATAGCAAGCCTTAGCCTTTAAAGTAGATGAAGTCTCTGTGTGTTTGTCTAAGTGCTGCCTGTGTGGGAATCTCTCCAGACCTCTTGGCCTTTATGCACAGGGGAAATGTTGCTAGGCAACGGTTCTCAAAGAGCCTGCCCCTTCGCACAGCCAGGAAGGCCAACCCTAAGGAGGGTCTAGGGAGGAAGTAGTTTGAGACAGTAACAGGACTTTATGAGGAGACAAAGAAGACTGTCCAGTTTGGGAATAGATGTTGTTATTTTGGGGGGGCTGGAGAGGGAAAATGATTGGAGGAACCAGAGGGCGTGTTTTATTAGTTGAGGTGAAAAATCCTAATCCATCTCTCTGATAAGGTGCCTTTGGCTGGTGATGATATTTCACATTTGTGCCACAGGAAGCAGCTTAATCTAAATATAGCCTGCTTAGCTGGCCTTGTTAGCTCAGATGAGGGGAAAATGCCAGTAAGTTCAGGGGCATGGGTTATATCCCTTTGTGAGCCAGTTAACTTTGGGACAAAATATCTGTTCCACAGCCACCACCTACACCCCTACCCTGTGGTTGCTCCAGCCTGGGCCGTGGCTCTCAGGGGAAACCTAGGCCAAACAGATCATCTGTTGTCACTCCCCAAGCCCACCTGGTGCTTGCCCACCCCCCTCCTCAACTCAGGCCCTTCTTCCACCTTGGAAAGTTCCGCCATTTCCTTCGACTTTTAAAATCCTACTCCATTACCCTCTTTGGCGAAGCCTTCCCATAGAGCTCAGGTATAAGTGTTTTTCTCTTCTTTTGAGCTTCTTTGACGTCTTGATCCTTTAACTGGGGCATTTAAATGGTATACCAGATATACCAGTTACAAACTTTTTGGGGACATGTTCTCTCTCCACCAAGATCCATACCTTCTACAATTTAATGTCTTGTGCCCTAGATCCAGCACAGGGCCATCCTTGCATCTATTGTCATTGGTAGTTGCCATTGAGTCGGCCCTGACGCATGGAAATCCCATGCACGATGGAATGAAATGCTGCCCGGTCCTGTGCCATCCCTATGATCGGTTGCAGATCAGAAAATGTTCCACTGTGATCCATAAGGTTTTCACTGGCTGATTTTCAGAAGTAGATCACCAGGCCCTTCTTTCTAGTCTGTCTTCGTCAAGAAGCTCTGCTGAAACCTCTTCAACGTTAGAGCAACACACAGGCTTCCACTGAAAGGTGGGTGGTGGCTGTGCATGAGGTGCATTGGCTGGGAACAAACCCAGGTCTTCTGCATGGAGGCGAGAGTTCTACCATTGAACCACCAGTGCTTCTCCCTGCATCTGTTGTTTTTGTCTTGTACCATTGAGCTGATTCCAACTCATGGCGAACCCATGTGTTACTGAGTAGAACTGCTCCATAGAGTTTTCTTGGCTGTAATCTTTATGGAAGCAAATCATCATGGCTTTTCTTCAGTGGCGCTGCTGAGTGGGTTCAAACCACCAACCTTTCGGTTCCCAGCCAAGTGCAAACCCGGCGAATGTTTCTTGATTGACATATTTCTTGACAGTGTGTCAACAGTTTAATCTGCATATGAAGGAAGTCCTGCAAATAAGATCAGTATGACTCTGGAGACTGTGGCTTTTGTCCCTGGTAATTATTCACTAAACATTCAGAAAGATATCCACCACGTGCGATATGGATGTTACCGGTAACCTAAGAATGACAAGAATTACTAAAACATGATTTCTGCCCTCTTGATGCTCATAGATGACCCTGCTGAGTTCCTCACTACCAGCTGGATGTGTACATATAAGTGGTTGATTTTTATTATGGCCATGACTTTTCAGCCAGCAGGTATTAAGAGTTGGTAGTGAGTTTGGACAGCCTCCTCTCAGTGGAACTCAGGCTGAGAAGAGATACGGAATCATAGAGATGGCTCTTGACCTTAGGAAGTGTCTGTTCTAGCAGAGAGAAAGTTAAACTACACGGAAAAATACAGAAGCCCCTATTCAGTAATGCCTCATTTTCTGGCACTGTGGAGGATTTACACAATTCCTTACAAGGGACCCCTGGTGGTACAGTGGTTAAGAGCTACAGCTGCTTACCAAAACATCAGCAGTTCGAATCCACCAGCTGCCCCTTGGAAACCCTATGGGGCGGGTCTTTTCTGTCCTATAGGGTCGCTATGAGTCGGAATCGATTTGACAGCAATAGATTTTTTTGGTTTTCTACAAGAGAATTTTCCAGACAGATGAAGTTTACCCTGTTGAGTGCCCAAATTTTATGCTGCCCAATTTTGACTGAAATCTTTCTAGAAGGCTTTCTAATTTCCCTGGCCTTTTAAACAAGTTATTGAACACAAATTAACTTTTTCCTTGGTATCATCAAAATCTCCAGGAAAAGAGAGTCTCACTCAGAGGCATCAACATGAGCTAATGATACAACAATTGAGTACTTTGAGTGCTGGCTGGATAGCCGAACCTAAAGAATCTTGAGTAGCATTGTATCAGTCAGGGTTCTCCAGAGAAGCAGAACTTATAGGATATATATGCCAGACAGAGAGAGACAGGCCGACAGACATTGACTGATTTTAAGGCATTGATTCACACAATCATGACAATGGCCAAGTCCAAAATCTGTCGGTCAGGCCAACAGGCTAAAAACTCAGGAAAGAGTTGATGCCACTGTCTTAAGTCTGAAATCTACAGGGAAGACCAGCAGACTGGGAACCCAGGCAGGATTTCTATGTTACAGCCTGTAGGTAGAATTTCTTCTTCTTAAAGAAACCTCAGTTTTTGCTCTTAAGGCCTTCCTCTGATTGGATGAGGCCTACCCTCATTAGCGACAGTAATCTGCTTTACTTATAGATAACTGACTGTAAATGTTAATCACGTGTAAATAGCTTCACAGCAACATCTAGACTAGGGTTTGACCAGACAGCTGAGCCCCGTAGTCCGGCCAAGTTGACCCATACGATTCACCATCACAGACATATTGGTGTTGGACAGGAGGGAGAGCTTGGATGAAAATAGAAAACGCAGGTTAGCAGAATGG